CCTCTACTTGGACTTTGATGTGCATTTACTGAAATGCACATTTTGAAGTTTTACTATGTATGTATAATATGTCCCCAAGCAATATCTACTTGTATTTTCTTACTTATCTAAATGTTAGACTAGTCTACACCTTTTTTAAACAACTTTATTGAGACATAATTCATGTAACATCAATTTGAAGTGTACAATGTAAAGGTTTTCAGTATATTCACAGATATTTGCAACCATCACCACAGTCAATTGTAGAACATGTTAATCACCTCAAAAAGAAACCCTGGCCCTTCAGCTATCACCCTCCATTCTTCCATCTTCCATCTATCCTCCCCTGTCCCAGTGACAAGCAACCACTAACTCGGTTTCTGTCTCTATAGATTTGCCTACTCATTTCATATGAGTGGAACCATATACTCTGAGGTCTTTGGTAACTGTCTACTTTCACTTAGCAGAATGTTTTCAAGGTTTGTTCACGTTGTAATAGTCCATTGTATGGACATACCACAATTTGCTCATCCATTCCTTAGTTGAGGGGCATATGGGTTGTTTCCACCTCTTGGCTATTATGAATAATGTTGCTACAGACATCCATGAACATGTTGTTTTGTGGACAGATGTTCTTGTTTCTTTTGGGCATAGTCCTGGTTTTGACACACAGATCTGGTTCCTTGCAACTGCCATTTGGTGTTGTATTAAGAAGCCTTTCTTTCTCGCTTCTCCTGGATGATTGGGTGTTTGTTCTTTCTGGCTTCTGCTCACAGCCCTGCAGTGATGGCCCTAAATGTGCTTCCTTACGCACACAGGAACTTCCCAAGAGGGGACTCCATGGGTAGAGGGTGAGTCCTTCAGGAACCTTCCTAGTTATTGCCAAGCTGGTTTCAAACATTGCTGCAAACATGTTCACATTTACCAGGAAGATAGAAACATCCTGATTTCTCCACATTTCCCCAAACTCGGCGTTATGTCCCAACTTTTTTGCCAATATGTAATGAGTGTGAATTGACATTTCATTAGTTTACTTCAATATGTATTTCTCTAGTTATTAGTGAAATTAAGCACATTCTGATATTTAGTGCTCATTCCCATTTGCTCTGCCAGACACCATATTCCCACATGCCTTTTCAGAGTTTTTGTCTGTTCTCTGTTGGGTTATATAGTTCTTTTCTTATTCACTTGTAAAAGCCCTTTTAGATATTAACGTGATGTCTGTTAAAAAGAGATTGCAAGTATTATCTTCTGGTCTAAAAGCATTTTCCCAACTTTCAAATTTTTATTTTTCCTGTCTTATTGAGACATAATCGACATATAACGTTGGGTAAGTTTAAGGTGTACTAAGTGATCATTTGATACATTTAAATTTTGCAAAAGAATCACCACAATAGGATTAGTTGACACATTTATCATTTCTATTTTTGTGTGGTGAGAACATTTAAGATCTACTCTAAGCAACTTTCAAGTATATAATATAGTATTGTTAACTATAATTTCCATGCTGCACATAAGAATCCCAGAAATTACTCATCTTATAACTGGAAGCAAATACCCTTTGACCAACATCTCCCTATTTCCCTCACCCTATGGCTGCTGGCAACCACCGTTTTACTTTGTATTTTTGAATTAATCTTTTTTAGGTTGTACATATAAGTGACATACTGTATGTGTCTTTGTCTGACATATTTCAGTTAGCATAATGCCCTCCAGGCCCATCCATATTGTTATCAATGTTTTTCCACTTTTAAAATGCTTTTTATCACTCCTTGGTTTGAACTTTTGATAATAAATTTATCAGTATTTTCCTTCCTAACATATATACATGAGTTGAAAATATATCTTTATTTAAAAATTCTTAACTATCACATTCTTGTGTTAGTCTTCCGTATTTTTTCTGAAATGCTACGTTTTGCTTTTTTCACATTTATGTCTGTAATTCATTTGGAGTTAAGGGTGTGTGTTTTCATAGAATGAGTTAAAAATCTCATTTCACTTTTTTCAATAAAGTTATCTATGTGATATCTAGTTATTTAAGCATCCTTTATTAAACATGCTATTTTTTTCTCATTGTCTTGAAATGCTGCTTTTATCATATATCAATACTGTGTGTGTGTGTTTAGGGAGGTGAGAGGCAGGAAGGGAGGGGGAGAGGGAATAGAAGATGAAAGGGAAGCTACAGATTATTTTATTTCTGGACTCTCTATTCTGCTCTGTTTGTCTGTCACTGTACTAATACCACTTTATTTACATTAGCTTTATAGAAAGTCTTGTTATCTGCAAAGGTGAATCGTTTCTCTTTCCCCTCCTCTTTCTTCTTCATCTTCAAAATGATATAGACTATCCATGATCCTTGCTACTCCATATATATTTTAGAATCATTTCACAATTGTTAATGCATACACACTAAGTTCCAGAAAAAGCTTGCTGGTATTTTGCTTGTATTGAATTTAGATTAATTTGGAGGAAATTAACTTTGGATTGCACTAAGATATGTATACAACCTAAAATTTAAAGAGCAACCACTGAAAAATAGAAATGGAATATGTAATTTCCAAAGCAGCACAAAGACAAAAGAAAATAAAGAAAACACATTTTAGTAAATTGACATCTTTACAGTCATATACCATCTTTTTTACACATTACTGTTTTCTATTTTACTAGCACCCTTGTATTATAGATCCTGCAAATTATCATTAAAATGTGGTTAAGGAGGAAAATGAGGCAAAGAAAAAATGGGGTACATTAGAAGAACAAATACAAAAGAAGCAGTTAGTTATGTCAGTAATCAAAATTATTGTAAATGAACTAAACTAACCAGTTCAGAGATAGGGACTCTCAGACTGGAAATTTAAAAGTCCCATTATGAACTGTTTACAACTGATATGTTCTAAATGATATGAAAAATTAAAAAGTAACGGGATGATATAAAAAAAATACTGGTCCAGTTGCTAACTGTGGTGGTAGTTGTGAGAATGCACCTGTCAGCTCTCCAACAGTAGGGAGCGCAGTCGGCCAGGGGCCCCAGGAGCTGAGCATTAGATCCAGGCTTCCCATGGGCTGGTCTGCGCCGTGGGCTCCACGTGGCAGGCCGGCCAGTTCCTGGGAGACAGGGGACCCCGCTGACAGGTAATTGACTTGAGGACGCTCTAAGGACCTTGTAGAAATATTTTTAGGTTGGACTGCAATCTAAGATGCTTCCACCCGACCTTCCTCCCTCCTTCCTCTTTCTTTTACTTGGGGGTCAGGCTTGCATTGCGTTCTGAAGGCCCTCTCAGCTTCTCCCAGTTCCTTCTACATTTTCTCTGACAAAAATTAATTTCTTGCGTGTTTAACACCACCTTGGAGGACCTGGACTTGTACACTCTACCCAATCCCCACCAAAAAAAGCAAACATTAAAAACCTCAAAGAAAGAAAGCCAGACCTGTTATGGCCACATTGATATTAGCGAAAGACTGCAAGGCACGAAGTATTACTGAGACTAAAGAAGATCATAATTTAATCATAAAAGGAAGTATTTACCAGGACTATATTCACCAGGAGTAATATATATGTTATATATATTTCTAATTTATAATTCTGGCATGGCACCGAAATACATGCAAGGAAACTGACAGAGGTACAAAGAGAAAATGACAAATATACAACCATATTGTTTTCTTTTCAAATATGCCTGGGCTTTCACTTAGTGCCTAGTGTTTTCTTAGGGTACACACACACACACACTCATGCACACATGCACACATGCACATACATATATCTTTAGTAGTTTTTAACATTTTCAGTTACAGTCTCTTCCATATTCTTGTCCTGTCATTCTAGGTTCTAGGGCTTTAATCCTGATTTATCTGCTGACTCTTGCATGTGGTAGATTGACTCCTTGTGTATTTACAATGATTTTCATTGGAGGCACACATTTAACACATTCTCTCCTCCTCCCAGGAATCTCTGTGGCTCGGACTATGAGAACCAAGAGAATTCACATTTGCTTCTGCCGAGTATTTCAGAGGTAACATTACCTTTGAGACCATATGCCATTAATTTCTTGGTATGGGAGTTTCTGGAAGTGGGCTGTGTGAATTTGTATATTCAGACAACACAAAGTACAGGAAAGGTGACCAACAGTCCTAGCTTACCTAGGTCTTAGGGGGTTCCCAGGATCCAGGCCTTTTATACTTGAAAAAGAGACAGTCCCAGGAAACTACGGCAATGATCACCCTAGATATAGGCCTGTTTTCAATTTTCCTCCCCCAGGGAAGAATTGTTTACACACCCAAATCTCAGGCAAAGACAGACAAGCTTATATATCATGCCCCTGACAAGAATAATATTTCAAGTTCCACCCTTCCAATGAGGCCACTACCCTTGGAAGGTCTCAGCTTTACTCCATAGTCTAATTCCTACTCCCCTCTTACTTGGTTCAAAGGCCCAGTCTCCTGTGTCAGCACAGAATATTAGGGTGCCTCTACCCCAGCCCCACTCTGGCATGTCTGCTCCTGTTTGAGTTCCACCTTTATTTCAGGTAACTTGGGTGTTCCTTTTACTTGTGAGCTCATTGTGCACTTAAGCATTTTATTTTATCGTATTTTTGTGCCATTTTCTAAGTCTTTAAACCTGGAGGATGGTCATATTATCTTCATCTACCATCTCACTAAGACCAGAACTCCTCCCACAACAAGTTTTAACCAACCTGCCTGGCCCTGCAGCAACATAGCCTATAAAGTCCATAAAGTACAGCAAGTTCTAAATGATTCAAGTGGATGGGTTTGCCAAGCAACAGACTTTGGGTAATTTATATGTAGTAGTGAGCATTCTCCATAGAAACAGACCAATAGGATAGATATAGTACAGATACGGATATAGATATAGATATAGATAGAGATATAGATAGATATAGATATAGATATAGATATAGATATAGATATATAGATATAGATACAGATACAGATATAGATATAGATATAGATACAGATATAGATATAGATATAGATATAGATATAGAAGAGATTTATTTAGGAATTGGCTCACACAGTTATGGAGGCCAGGAATTCCCACAATCTGTTGTGTGCAAGCTGGAGAACAGGAAAGCCAGTGGTATAATTCATTCCTTATCAAAAGGCCTGAGAGTCAGGGCAATGATGGTGTGAGTCCCAGTCAGAGTCTGAAGGCCCAAGAACCCATCAGAGAACCAGAGAAGATCAAAGTTGCAACTCAAGTAAAGAAAGCAAATTGCCCTTTCTTCTACCTTTTTGCTCTATTTAGCCCCTCAACAGACTGGATGATGTCTGCTGGCTTTGGTGAGGATTATCTTCCTTACTCAGTCTACTGATTCAAATGCTAATCTCTTCCAGAAACAACCCCCCACACATGCCCAGACATAACATTTTACCTGCTCTGGGCATCCCTTAGTACAGTCAAGTTGACACATAAATGAACCATCACATTCACCATTTCTAGAAATTATTTCTAAAACAATACCATGAAGTAGAAAATATAATCATTGTATAGTGAAACAGACACAAGAAATTCTTCATGGCCTTGGTACTCAAGAAAAACCATCCAGACAGTTCCACATAGGATATATAAACTATGGTATTTTTTTATTTGAAACTCTGATATTGATCAGCGTTCCAATTCCAGGTGTATTTGTCTCCCATCACTATGAGAACAGGCTGTGGGCTGTGTCAACACTGTGTCCTGTCCTGAAATGTTTGTCCAGCAAAAGACCACTTAGAGGAAAAGGATGTGAAGTCTGTGAACCTCAATGACGTAGGAGAATCCCTCCTCTGAGCCAGATTCACAACATACCAGTTGAGAATATCTTGGAGGCTCCCATCCATACAGTAACCAGAGTTACTCAGTGGAAAAGGAGCATATGGCTTTTGTAGAAACTTTGAAGGGAAACAAATCTGGAAAATAAAATAATCTCACCAAAATAATGTCTGTGTGAAAAAAAAACTCTAGAAATGAGGAATATGTGTGTGTTTTTGTTCTAGTCTTGATCATTCTACATATTCTTACATCTGAAATTTTGAGCACTGGAATGAGAGAAGGTGAGTAAGAAAGCATTTCTAACTTTTATCCCCCTCTTACTTTTATTATTTCATGGAGTGCTTGATAAATAGCACTCAGGAAGCTATTGGCTTTTGAAGCTGAGCCAGGTATGCTGGTTACACACCCAACAGCTATTTACTGTTCTTTGTTCACAAATCCCTGATTTCACTCAGATTTCTATGTCCTCCCACCCTGCTCCCCCAATCCTGATTCATCAATGTCAATCACTGTAATCCCGTTTTCCCAGCCAGTAATGGGGGATAGGTTGGCAATGTGACCCAGCCAATGAGAATCAAGAGGAGATCTGATGGGATACAGATATAGATATAGATATAGATGAGAGTTTTCTAGCACAGGAATCCTTCTTAAAAAAAGACGAATGATAATCAACAGCCCTTTCAAGTGACTGGACATTGTTGTGTGCCTATAATGTTTGTAGTTTTGGAAGTCATCTTGCAAGTTTGAGGAGGAGCTGATTGAGGAAAAGGACAATATGCTGAAATGTATTGGCACAGTGGAACGAGGAATGAACCAAGGTCATATTGTTCTTGAGTTGCTTTATCGAGCCAGCCTAGAGCCAACCTATGCTAGCACTTCTTGTTATATATAAGATCATAACTGTTCTTACTGTTTAAGCCAAATGAAGTAGGATTTCCTATGATTTACAACCCAAGTCATCCTAATGCATGACTACAGTGGCCATCTTGAGAGGTTTTAGCTCCACCACCACTCCACCAGCCCTTGTAATATTTGGAGGACAGGGGCAGGAAGGATTTGTGAGATCTTCTAACTTCCCAGACAGCTTGGTAGAGGGAGGGATGATAAACATGAAATAGAGAGGCTGTAGGGTGTGATATCAGGGCTATTTCTAGAATTCTATCTGAGGCACAAAAACTCCATTACCCATTTCTACAGAACCTTCTAACTCTGCTGGGGGTGCCCACTAGCTGATCATTCAGTGTTCAGGCTGCTGTGGTTTAATTAGTAATGGGGCCCTTGCCTGCATCAAAAGTACAAAATTCTCCATTTTTTTCTTTTCTCCCTAGGTACAAACACTGCCCAAGATGCTCTACACTGCAGGGAGGAAGGAGGGATGCAGGAAAATCTGTTTATTTGGCACTTTCACCCCGTGGCAATATTGGAGTCCAAAGAGGTTGAGCTGCTTGTTTTGCAGTTTAAAAGGGGTGGGATACTTACTCTAAATTTTTCGGAGTGAATACAGCAGTTCTAAGCAGCTGATGACTGCCAAATAAAGAACCTGATCTTTCGTTTTGTTTTGTTGGCTTGTTTGTTATTTTCTCTTAAAAGTGGAAACAGCTGGTGGCCAAGGATCTCAGACTTCCAGCTGTGAAGCTGTCAGGGACCCACTGAGGTAGGTCTTCGGGGCTGGGCTGAATTCCAGTGCAGCAGGGGAGACGTCTGCATGAGAATGAAGGAGCGGCTCCAGAATTTCTGTCCACAAAGACCATGTTCTGGAAGTTGGTGACAACATAGAGAAATACCCCAAGGGCAACAGATTCCCACCCTTCCTTCCGGCTACTCCCTCCAACCCATCTGGTAAGAACCACTGAAGGCCAGTTGCAAATTGGATCTTGATGTGCCCCATTGTCACCACTTTGCTACGTCTACTTTTACAGACCTGGAGACGTGTCTTAATTTTTGGTGGTGGGGGTGGGGGTAGAGGGTGGAGGAAGTGGGGGAGGAATATTCTAGGATCCAGCAGTAGGTTTCAGATTGTGCCCAGGAATTATATAGAGAGATTCCAAATATACAGTGTTCCCTGACCACCGCTGCAGACACTGACCTTCGGCTGGTATTCGCATCTGCAGCCTGGCTGCTGAGTCTGAGGCTTGAGAGGTCCCTGGACTAGAGTAAGGTGGGTAGAAGGGAGGCTAGCTTCTTACCTGTTATTATTTTCCTTGGATGATCATTGAGATGGATTCTGATGGGGAGGAAAGTGTAATAAAGGGTCTCCAATCCTTTGTCTGTTTTCATCTTTCTTTTGTGTCTGCATTCATCAACTGCCCTGTGCTTTAGTCACAACTTGCTGGAGTCCAACAAAATAACTTAGGATTTAGAAATCAAACAAAAAAGATAATCACCCAGATATCAGATTTAAATCTGCACTGACTAAAATTGCTTTGTTAGAGAAATAAAAGTGTTAAGAAGCTTTTCTTCTAAGGCTACTAAAGAGTTTTAGCTGGCACACACAGGTTTGGGGCTGTTCCCACTGAGTGATGGAAAACCCACCTCACATGTGGAAACAGGTTACATTTACTTTGACTTCAAAGCTCTTACAATCATTCAGAAAACAGGGAGCAGTTCCTAACTCTGATTCGGAAGAGTTGATGCTTTCTTTCTTAATGCTTTTGGTTGGATCCCAAACACTACCCCCACATCAGGAAAATGAGAAGACAAATGTGACGTGGGAGCCCAGTGTAGGCAAAAATTATAATACACGTCACACTGTCATTTTACAAAGTGACTTTTTAAAATAGAAAATAAATAAATAAACTCAGAAAAACTCCACAGAGACACGTTAATGCCTCAACCTGGAACAATAAAGCTCCGCTGAAACACTTGCCATTAGCCACCATCTGCTGTCAGCAACTGGGGGGTAATCTTTACGTCCTCTTGACAGATTTGCTTCATTTCTTAGCCGCTTGTTGAAGCAAAGACACTGTGGACAAAACATTGAGGGGTAAGGATCCTTACCTGACTGAGGGATCAGGGCAACTGCTTTTCAGACCTCTGAATTTGGTGACCACTATTCCATAATCTGTTCAGGGTTTTCAAGACTGCATATTGAGTTGGAAAAATCTGCTAACTGTATCTCTTCCCACAGTCATAATGCTCTGTTCCTGTCAGCATTTTCTACACAAATCAGAGAGGTAAGGGGGGGTTCACTGCCCTTGACATATTTTGGGATTTAGGAGAATAAGCGAATGTCTTTCCTACTGTGCTCTGATAAAGGAGGAAATCTGTGTGCCACAACAAGATCCTCTTGATCAGAATTCTGCCAGGGCACCTGCATTTCTCTCCTATTTGAATGTGTATTATTAAACTATTGAGTAAATAAATATTCTTGTTCATACCAAAAGTAAACTTATTTCTCTTTCTAGTGCTGCAGGTTAAGAAGTCTTAAAAAAACATAAACAAGAGAAATGGCTGAGTCATGTGCTCCCCAACAACTGAGCAAAGAATTCTTGTGCAGATAGAGGTGCAAAGAAAAAAATGCTATTACTATTCCGAGTACATTGAGACTGCTGTTTTCCATCTTTCTTATGTAATCTTACCGTGTATGAGGAATAAGACTAGAGAAGGGAGGGCAGTGTAGGTAGAATGTCTGAATAACACACCTTTGTCTTTTATTCCCTGTAGGGGTTTCCTTATCCAGGTCTCGGTGATGGCCCAGAGCCAATAGAATGTACTTTGATTTTTCTAGAATAGTCTTCCAGTTTTTAGACTGTGTACTTTTATGAACCTGCTTGTTACGGTAGAGGAAATGGACTGAGGGCATGGAAGCTGTCCTGGGGCAGGTGATTTCTACAACAGTCTCCAAGCCCAAGGGCAGTGCCCTTTGACCCACTCCAATCGTGGTTATTGGAGCCACGCCCTATTACTTCATTTTGGGCTTCTGTCTCCTGGAAGATGGTACATGGAGAAGGAGAACGGGCTGCAGGGGAGCGGCAGCAGAGAACGGGAAGACAGCATGGCGCAGCCCCAGGCCCCGCCGATCCAGTGTACCTTCATTCATCCACACTCTGCATTCCTCCTGTCCCTAACCTGTGGACAGTATTTCTGGCTTAACCTCATTTTCTGTTAAAACCAGTGCACTTTCCATTTAAACCAGGAAAAATAGAGACATCATTACTCATCCAGAGCACCCAGTCTCTACTGGGGAGAGGTTGCTCTGGACACACAATGTACATAGTCTCCTCCTTTCTTTCCTGTTTTCTCCCCTTCTTCTTCTTTTTTTTTTAAACCTGAGACTGTCAGTAGACTTCATCCAGACCAAAAACGCCACACTATAACTGGTTTACAGGTAGTCAGGAGGCCTCCAGGAGACCAATGGACATTATTCTAAAGAATGAGAACCACAGCTCTAGGAATTTCTGTTGTCTTAGAAGATTCCAATTATAAACATTTTGCATAGGTACATAATTTACCAGTCAAAGCTTTCCTTCATCTAGTTGTACCCTTTATGTTCTTTTCCACAGCATGAGACGTAAAAGCAGAATACCTTTGATAATGGGGATTGTTGCAATCCCTGTGTATATTCACTGAGCATCCTGCACAATAAAAGGATAGCTTGCTTACCACTGGGATATTGCTCAAACCCAAAGAACGCATATTCTCAGCACAAATCAATAATCGTAATTCCCAAGACAGAGGATATGATTGACACCAATCAATATCAAAAAACCCCACCTAGAGATTCACCTCATCGTCAGATGGCCTCGATCATGTCTAGACCAGTCATCAATTTTATCAACTTTATCATCATCCCTAACATTTATTATAGGCTCAGTTCTAAACATTTTACATAAGTAAACCCAATTTAACTACATCAACAACTCCATGAGGGAGATACTGTTCTTATCCTCATCTTACAGATAAGGAAACAGGTACAGAAAGGTTAAGTTACTTGCCCAAGTTCACCCAGCAAGTAACTGGAGAAGCCAGAATTCTGGCTCAGGGTCCATGCTATTAATTGATAGCATATCCATTACCTTCATGCTGGCCATGGCTTATTCGTGATCTGATGCCTGATTCAATCAGGCTGCTAAGGAGATAATGCTCCTCTGTGTCCTGGAAGCCCCTTGCTGTGCCAATTAAATCCCCTTAATTGCTGGACCACTGGGAGGTTCTGGGAGCCTTGGAAAAGAGCTGGGGCAGCCACTTCAGGGCTGGGAGTAGAGGCTGTTTTTCAGTTAGAAGGAAGTATTCCAATATTTTAATAATGGGTAGTCCCTAGTGGCACTTACAGCTGACTGAATATGCACACATACTTACAAGAGTCAAATAGTGTTTACTTTTCCTTAATTGAAAGGTCTTTTTTCTCTAACCAAAAATAACGACCCCAGTTATACCACCTTTTCTTCAACACATACCTGCATATTCTACTATTTCTGAAATGTGCCAACTGTACTATTTGTTTTAGAATCAAACAATGTCTACATGGGGGTATCTTTGAAGCCTATATCTGAAATTAGTTAAGGTGAAATTAGATCAGGCAAGATTAGTTCAGGTAGTAAAGTTCACATGTATAATTCATTTGCAAAGATTACTATTATGCAGGAAGGATGTCATCAGAGCCAGGTAGCATCTCCTCTTCACGTTTAAAAGGTACAAGTCTGTTTAACAAGGCAATAGAGGTTACCTATAGTCAGAGCCCAGGTGAAATTACGTAAGAATTGAATATAGAAATTATTTACAAAAATAGTTCATTTAATGAAATTTGCAATCTTTGAAAGAATGAATAAGACATATATGATATAAAGCTGAAATCACTACCCACCATTTTAAATACTTGCAGGCACTTAAATATATTACTGAATGCAAATAAAAGTTGTCACCCTAAGGGAGAAGCTAACTGCTTTAGGAGTAACACCCCTGAAAACAAACTCTGATCTCAAGTCCAAAGATTTTGCACACAAGGTCCACATAATACGGGTGGGGAAACTGACTTACTTCACCTAGCTACAAGTCAGTAACAGCCCTTCCCCACCCTGTAAAACTCTGAGTAAGCTATTGGACTTGGACAAGGTAAGACACTTTTTTTAATGCCTTGTAAGTTTCATTCCTTGACAATGCAAGGTCTCAACTTGACAAGAATTTTGAAAAAGAACCACCACAACCATCTAAGGCAGTAAAAGCCGTATTTCAGTTGCTTTCTCTTTATCCTATCAGATGCGTTAAGGAGACTCTATGAGGTTTTACAGCAGACAAAATTCTGGGTCAGTTCCAGGAGTCTCATAGGCAATTCTTCTGGAGACATTTCTAAATCTGAGAAGACAACTTTCAGGAAGTAAGGAAGCAAATCCCATGGACATGCCCCACTTTGAGAAGCATCAGAACCAGCCACCCTCATTTTTCTGGGCCAGATAGGATATCTTGAAATTGTCTCCAAGGTTTAAACTTCAGTGTTATTAAACATAGCTTTTTTCATTAAAATGGTCCCAAGCATGAGGCACTTAATCCAGAAAATCTGTTTTTGTTTGTTTCTTTTCAGATTTTCATGCATAGGTAACAAGGAGCAGCCTATTGTCAAATTGCCAGGAGGAAATAAGACTGAAATAATTCGACTTGGCAGCTCTTCTCCATCCCAAACCTTGACATTTTTCATGTTATGTCTGAATTATATGCCCAGAAGGACTTATGTCCTCTCCTCTGATAGCCTTGTACCTTACACCAACTCTAAGCCTCAGAAGAAATAAGGAAAATTTACAGGGTTGACAATGGTCCCTTTGTGACCATAGTATTGCTTGGTTCAATATCTACTCAGGTTGAGAGCATTCCCTTAACCTCAAACATGCTAGAGTCCCTCATAAACCACTTCTTCTCTAGGAGATGGGAATATGGCCCAATCTGATACTGTAATCCCAGTTACAAACTGATGTGTGGGGTGGATTTACTGTAATTACAGGGTTCCTGAGCTTCAGGTTCACACTTGCGTCCTTGACCTTGAAGGGCAAAGGTCACTTAGGTTTGGCACATTCTATTCTGGGGGGCCATTTCTTCTTTCTTTATTACAGCTGCAGTGTTTGAACTGAGGACAACAATGAGCAATGGCCAGGGTTAAAGGTAGAACTGAAGTCTGAGAAAAATTAAGTCACCACTTCTGAACCTTCCCCTACCATCCCAAGGCAATTTTAAATAATTTCTCTTCCAAAATAGGTGAGAAAACTTTTTGCCATAATCCAATCCATCTTAGGGACCTTCTTCGCCTTATGCCCTAAAAATCTCCCAGTAAAAGAACCTGAGAAACCTTCCAGTGAGATGTTTGTATGTTATTTCTAGTTTATCACACCTTTGTCTGTTTTTGTTGCTTCATGCATGTTTAAGAGGTAATCCAGCTGAGCTAGCTTTTTCTACAGATGAAGAACCTGAGGCCTCTGAGAGAAGTGATTTATCTAAGATTCCAGCATGAGAGCAGAAACATTGGTATTAGACATCACCATTCCCCATACCTACTTGAGCTCCTTATCACCCCAAGCCCTGTGATACAATTTACTACTTAATAAAAATCAAGTTAGAGTAACAACTCCCAATCCACTGAGTTGGAAGAAAGGTGTGGTAAATGAATATTCACACAAGAGGAAGTAGAAGGATCTAGGGGGGAAAAATTTCAATTTATCTTTGTCCTCCAAGCTCACATATAGACTTTTCACAAATAATTTATTTGTATACACCAGGCACAATTTTACATTCAACACGAGGTGGAAGTAGAGTGAGTTTCCAGTTTAAGGTTAACCCAAGAGAGATCATGGTGAGAATATTACTGGGAAGGGAACTGAAAGCATGTGTCTGAAGTTAACCTGAAAACATTCATTGCTTGGTGCAGACGCCTCGGGTCTCCAGCCTGTTCCTGGTCCAGGACCTCTAAACCGTAGACACAGCATCACATGTCCCGGACAAAATCTGAAGCCTAATTAATTTTTCTACAGCAGTTCAACAGATTGTTATCCCAATTTTTTCTAACAATGTAGAAACCAGATATTATGTATTTGAACATCTTATGCAATAGGGGAATTTAATATTTGAACTTTGAATTAAGGTAAAATATACATGAAGGAAATTGAATGTGAGTGATTAATGAATC